CCCCAGGCACTACTGCCTTCACCACACACACACACACACACACACCCGCCCCAGGCACTACTGCCTTCACCACGCAGGGACACTGGCCTTTCTCCCTGGGCCGCTCCTGCCCGGAAGGCTCTTCTCCCTGCTCTGTTTGCCTGGTTTCTTTTCTCTCAGATGCCTCTTCCTCGCAGAGGTTTTCCCTGAAACCCTCCCAGTCTCCTTCCTGTTACTTCTACCTGTCTGTTAACCAACTTCCCAGCCAGTCACACAAACAGCTCAAAACCCTGAACTCCTAGGAAAAGCCCACGCCTCACAATGACTCACAGGGAACCGCCATTATCTCTGACCTCCTGCCCCTATCGTTTCAGTACTCCCTGTAGCCACAAGCACTGTCCCCCCAAACAGCCACAGGGGTCCCCGCTTTACTCACTCAGCCGACACCTTACCTCCCCCACCACCCCATTTAAAAGTCCGTTACCCTGATTTGTTCTTTCTACAGCACTAATCGCTGAACGCTCCCGATTATTCCTTGCCCGACCTCCGCCAGCCCTCTCCTCTAGCACCTCCTGCTCTTGTGCCTCCCAAATGTCTACAACAGTGTTTTGCACATAGAATGTGATCAATAAATATTTGAGAGTCTCAGAAATTACCCGATTTATTCATTTACTTTGATATATATCACACCAGACCATGAGCACCTGACTGCGCTTGTACCCAAATCCCAGAAGGCCGAGGGGCAAGAGTCTCGGGGTGACTTTAGTAAACATTTCCTACGACTCCTTTTTAAAATTTCCACTAAAAGGCAAACAGCGGGCAAACCCCGTGCCCTGCAGTCCTCCGTCCCAGAAGCCCCAGCCGCCTTTAGGCGGCTCTACCCTGGTTCCTCCAGGCCAGAAACGCCTCCACCAGTTTCCGCTTCCTGACACAGCAGGCACTGCCCACAGCAAAGATGGCGCCGAGCGCGCAACCTGATGGCGTCACAGTCGTCGTGGCCGGTGACGCCATCTGCGGCGCGCCGGCAGTGAGGAGGGGCGCCCCTGTTTCTCTCACGCGGCGGCGGAGGCGGCGGCGGCGGCGACATGGGGGAGCCCGTGGCAGGAGTGGGCCGCTTCAAGGCCAAGTGAGCTGGGGCGCTAGGGCTGTGGGTGCCGCCCAGGGAGGGAGCGGGGATTCGCAGCCCGAGTGGCAAATGTGCCCGCCCTGGACCGGGCGCCCATTCGGGTCTGGGCAGAGCCTGAGGGCGGTGTACGAACTGGCCCGCGAGATTAGTGTTGGTTGCGTTATTACAAAGTGGGAGAGCCAGCGTCGGTTATTAAATTAGGAGCCGGTTTGGGGGTTGTGGATGAAAAATTCTAAAGGAGGAAGGGGCGGGCTGAGCGGAAGTCGGGGCTGGTCCTGGACCGCAGCGGGTACTGGGAGAAGAACCACTTCTGGGCAGGCAGCCTGGGGGCTTTCACCTCCTGTCCCTCTTCGACATGGAGCAGGAAGAGAGGTCAGGAGATGGGTGGTCCGCTGTGGCTCCGGAGACGCTGAATCCTGGGCTGATTCAGTTCCCCAAGGACTCTGGTGAACATCTAAGTGCTTAGGGCCCAGGACCGGGCCCAGGACTGGGCCCAGGACCGGATGGACTCCTCCCTGCCGTTGAGCTCGGACTGATGGGATAAACATACTAAGCAGCTCATTTTCATCAGTGGGAGTGATGAGCAATACCAAACGGAAGGCCTGGGATCAATAGCGTCTCTGTGGCATAGTCACCTGGGCTCCACGGTTGGGGGCTCCATTTCATGTTGGTAGCCAAGCCTCCCCTAGTGGAGTTAGGCACCAGTGAAATCCGGGGAGAGAGACCCAAGCCACATACAGGGAACAGCCTGTGTGACACAAAAGTATAGCAGAGGCTTCTCCAAGTCAGGGTCTTAGAAACACATAAGGAGAGGGGAGGGTTTTAAGGCAGGGTAAAACACTTAGGTTTGGAAAGGCCTTTCTGGCAGCAGGACTTGAGATGGTAGAGAGGGGGCCTGGTGAAGAGGCTGGAGCAGCTGTCCAGATGAGCATGCGGTGGCCTGGACCACCGCAGAGGCAGCCAAGAGGGGAGGGACGAGGGCAGCGTGAGGCTGCAGAAATGAGGGCTACTTGGGGAGTGGGAGGAAGGAGCTAGGGTTGAGGAGGGGGCAGGCTGCAGCTGAGAAGGAAACTGTTGAGGGGGTGTTGTTTTTGGCGGGTATTCTGGGCTGGTACCCTGGGCTGGCCTCCCGCCACCAGCAAAGGGCCCCCGAGGTCTGGCCTACTCCACTCTGGGGGAATCTGGGAAGACAGGGGTGTCACACTGCTGGTACTGCCTCAGAACCTGGTGTGCATCACCGCCCAGCTCTGGGTCTCGCATCCTCTGTGACACCCACCTCACAGTGCTGCAGAGAGAGGACAGTGAGAAGAGCCTTCTCCAATCCCTTGCATCCCCGCCTCTGCCTGGGAACTCCTCAAGGCAGGGGCCTTTTGGATTGAGCTCTGGGAGAGCACCCAGCACAGAGCTGGGTATTGGGGACCAAGGGGTGGGTGACTCACTCTCTCCCCCCTGTTCTCTCTCTAGCTATGCTGTGGAGCGCAAGATCGAGCCTTTCTACAAGGGCGGGAAGGTGCAGGTACCAGCCCAGGGAGGGGCAGAGTGGTGGGGCAGGCAGGGGCTGCACAGAGTTACCTTGGCTGAGACCCTTCTGTCACCAGCTGGACCAGACTGGGCAGCATCTCTTCTGCATTTGTGGTACCAAAGTCAACATCTTGGATGTGGCCTCAGGGGCCGTGCTGCGGAGCCTGGAGCAGGTAAGGGTGGGGAGAGCCAGGGCAAGGGGCTAGTATGGAGGGTAGTCTGTTCTCATGGTGCTCTGTATGCTAACTCTCACCTCTAGGAGGACCAGGAGGACATCACTGCCTTTGATCTCAGCCCTGACAACGAGGTATACGGGGCAGGGATAGGAGGCGGGCTTCGGTACCTCTCAACCAAACTTTGAGCCATTGAGGACATGTGGCCGTGCCTCTTCTCTCCCAGCTGAACTGCATCGTTCTCTAGGTCCTGGTAACAGCCAGCCGGGCACTGCTTCTGGCTCAGTGGGCCTGGCGAGAGGGCAACATCACCCGCCTGTGGAAGGCGATACACACAGCCCCTGTGGCCACTATGGTCTTTGACCCCACTTCCACACTGCTAGCCACAGGTAGGGCCCTGGCTGGGTGGCTGGGCCCCCGGAGGGCACACAGTCAGGGGTCTTCAGGCACACCAGCCCCTTCACCTCAAACACGTTCCCACAGGCGGCTGTGACGGGGCAGTGCGTGTCTGGGACATTGTGCGGCACTATGGGACACACCACTTTCGGGGCTCGCCGGGGGTCGTACAGTGAGTAGAGAGCAGCAGAGGGTGGACGGGGCCTTATGCCCAGGGGCACACAACTCACCTGCTGCTCCCCCCAACCCCCCGCAGCTTGGTGGCCTTCCACCCAGACCCCGCACGCCTGCTGCTCTTCTCCTCCGCTGCAGACGCCACCATCCGCGCGTGGTCGCTGCAGGACCAATCGTGCCTGGCCGTGATGACTGCCCACTACAGTGCTGTCACCTCACTGACCTTTAGCGCTGATGGCCACACCATGCTTAGGTCAGTGGCCAGCCACCCAGGCCATGGCAGGAAGGGGAGGGCCGCAGCTGAGGCCGAGGACTGAGGTGGCTGTCTCCCCCGCCCCCCCAGCTCAGGCCGCGACAAGATCTGTGTCGTCTGGGACGTGCGGAGCCACCAGGCCACGAGGACGGTGCCAGTGTTTGAGGTGGGGATGCCAGGGGGCCGGGCCAGTCGAGGGGGCGGGGGAGGGTGGGCTGCTGCCTCTGACCCACTTACCCTCAGAGCGTGGAGGCAGCCGTGCTGCTGCCAGAGGAGCCAGCGCCTGGACTGGGTGTGAAGTCTGAGGGCCTGCACTTCCTGACAGCTGGAGACCAAGGTGTGTGTGTTCAGGCCAGGGTGGGCAGCAGGGCCTGGAGGAGGTCTGTGCACTGGAGTGCCAGCAGCCCGCATTCCCTCACAGGCCTGCTGCGCGTGTGGGAGGTGGCCTCTGGGCAGTGCGTGTGCACACAACGGCGGCTGCCAGGCCCCAGGCAGGAGCTGACCCACTGCGCTCTGGCCCACCGTGCCGGCCTGCTCCTCACTGTCACTGCCGACCACAACCTGCTGCTCTACGATGCGTGCTCCCTGCGGCTGCAGAAACAGGTGAGTGCTGCCCCTGCTCAGCCCGAAGCTGGGGCTGCCAGCCCTCCACTCATGCAGGCTCTGGCTTGTGTCCCTCCGGCCCCTGCCCCCGCAGTTTGCCGGCTACAGCGAGGAGGTGTTGGACGTCCGGTTCCTTGGGCCCAAGGACTCCCACATTGTTGTGGCCTCCAACAGCCCCAGCCTGAAAGTGTTTGAGCTGCAGACAACGGCCTGCCAGATTCTCCATGGCCACACAGGTCAGGGAGCTGAGCTGATGCCCCTAGCACTCTCTCTTGGGCTAGAATGCCCTCCTTTACTGTAACTGGTGGCCATTTTCTCTCTAATTTCTCCCAGACATCGTCCTGGCCCTGGATGTCTTCCGGAAGGGGTGGCTCTTTGCCAGCTGTGCCAAGGTAAGGCATCTGGAGCGGTGTGGAGGTATGGGTCCCAGTGGAGGAAGCCCAGCCCAGCCTCTGTCCTCACTCCTTTGATTCCCAGGATCAGAGCATCTGTATCTGGAGGATGAACAAGGCTG